GTCTAGACATATGTCTATAGTTATCTATTGATGGCCATTACAAAGTGCTATGAACGCTAAAATAGCGAAAAAGCTAGGATATAGGTCAAAATCCGAAAGTTAGCATATTTTGGTGGTAAAGTTTTCGAGAAATCTCCTAGAAAACCTTGATTACGTGATACTCAAACGTCAGCAAGTATCTAGTACACTGACCGAGTTATAATTTAGTGTTACACGCCTATTGCAGTCGAGTAAAAATCTAGTAATCTAGATGAATCAGGCGATATTAGATATTTTTAATGCTTAGGTCTGTATGTATTACATCTATAAAATTAGCTCAAAGATGCTCAATTGTTCTTGTACCATACGATGAATTTCTAAATTTTGCTAATTTTTCACGTAAAAGTTTTACTGCCCAAAAACGTTTTTTAAAGAAAACCAATGGCATGTTCCAAATCTGCTCATTAAACTACATTGAAACATGCACATATCAACGTTAAGAAAAAAAGAAAGCTCATTTAGAGTCGCTGAAAAGTGCTTTTTCATATTCAGTACACTCGATAATCTAGAAGAGTTTCGATTTTTGATAAGGGTTACTGCCAAAAGTTAACAAAAATTTTGAAACTAATATTAATTTCCCACGGAAATTTTTGTTAACTTTTGGCAGTACCCCTCATCAAAAATCGAAACTCTTCCAGATTATCGGGTGTGCTGAATATGAAAAAGCACTTCAGTGACTCTAAAAGAACTTTATTTTTCTGTCGGTGATATGCAACACGATAAGTTTTAGGGCGAAAAAATATCGATTGAAATTTTTTGCTATATAAATCCAGACTAATTTTTCAAAAACTCAGAAACGACTAAACAATAATAACTATCCGTGAAACAACGATTTACGAGCATAAAGTTCTAATGTCTATCTGCTGTTAGAAAAATGATCACTCTGATTTATGAATTATTTTTCTTCTCATGGGCTTTAATAGCCTTTTCAATCTTTTATGAGGTATTAAGCTAAGGGCGACTGAGGACCTTTGCATTATTTTAGTAGTGCTATCAAACGCATATAATCAAACCTTCCCGACTTTTAGTTAATGCAATTAATTAATACTGGATAAATCTATGCGAAAATACTCTTCTGAGGTTAGACATCGACGCCAAAAATGTCGAAGATGGCAAAATTCTTAAAACCTCGGCCGTTCTCAGTAATTCAACAACTTGTAATCGGCGTTGGCGTGCGGCTAATACTAACTTTTTTAGAAACAAAATTTAGAGAACTTCTATTTTTAAACAAAGTCAACGTTTACTGATGTAATAATATACAAATATAGCAACGAAAAAATGATAAGATAATACAATGAGAAAGACAATTAGAGAAAACAAGAATATAGAGAATATCATAAAACAAACATGGCCCCCATAAATAGCTGAAACAACAGTTTTAAGATTATATGGAAAAAGGGAAAGGCCTGTTTAATGGAAAATAGATAAAGTAAACAGCAAATTAAAGCTTTCTACAGTACGGTACTTTAGAAAAAAACCATGAATATAAAATTCTTGTCTCTTCATAAACTGAAATAACCAAACGAGATTATAGCGATCAAAATGAATCCGATGAACGAATGTAAGAAACATAGCAGACGGAGAAAAAAGTAACTGTATGTATATTTTCTACAAAATAAGTGAGAAATTAGCCATGAAAAACGGTGTAAGATCGACCATCGGCAAAAGAGAAAATAAATGTAAACTTAATATTAATGTTCGTTTTAATTAATCCCCATTGGTGGAGAGAACACCTGCTCCTACGCCGAAACCAACGCCTCGTGGACCCCAATTTTTCTGGTAACAACCTAAAATATAAATAGTAGTAATTATTACTTATATTTCTTATGTATTAGTGGGTATTTTCTGATGCTGATGTACTTTGACAATAAATTTCTTGTTCTCTGTCGTTATATCTTGCTCCATTTAGTCCTTTGTTACACATTTTACATGTAAAACATAATTTGTGAAATGACTAGAAAAAAATGAATGAATATTAACAGCTTTATTTTCTCGTCCGAGAAATTTACCTCTCCAGCCGCTTTAACTTCTTCGGCTAAATACACCGTTTTGGCACATCTGTGACAAATGGTTCGTTTGTGAAGTGATGAAAACGAACTAGACGGTTGCGTCTGTAAACTTGGTGCTCGATTGCCATTCGAATTTAACGAATGTGAATTCATGTTGAATAATTGCGGTTCATTGTTATTCAATGAATTTGCAACTCGAAAATCATCATTTTCATGTCGTGTTGTTGGAGGAGATGACGAAGCCGAGTTTGATTGTGATGTTATTGGTGATGTAAAAGATTGTGTTTTCGTACCATCCATACTCAAAATCCCAGCACCAACTCCGTGTCCATAGCCTGTCAAACATCAAAAGAAATAAACCATCTATTACTCTAATCTATATAAAACAGGTATTTTGTGATTGACCTACCTTTTGGACCAAATGATTTGCTGTAACAAGATTTACAATAAAGCATTTCATCATGTTCAGTTAAATTTTGTGAATTAAGTAATTTGCCACAATGTGCTAGAGATAGATAGAAATATGAATATTTAGCAATACTATAACGTTTCTTCACCTACTGCATTTACAACATAATTTGTGATATTTTTTTCCAGCTGCACTAACTTCCTCGGCTGCATAAACATTTTGTTTACAGAATGCACATTTTGGTGACTCGAATTGAAAACGATTCGTCTTTGGCGGATAAAATAACACTTTACCCGTTTCACTTGTGTCCATTGTCTAAGCCAAAAAAATGAGAATTGGACTACTGAAATACAAAGCTTCTAGTGTTTTCATATAACATCATTTTAACTGGTTTATCAATTCAAACAATGTCAGAGAGTGATATGAGTAATATGAATGTATGGAACGAAGTGCTAAATCTAATGAAACAAATTATTTATATGATGAAAACTCGTTAAGATTTTAGTCACTATTATTTCAAATTAGTTCAATGATCCTGTTGTCGTGACAGGGAGAACTGATGGAAAGCTTTTCTCTTTTCTGGACGAAATTAGTTTCAAATCCGGACTCATTTGTTTTTCACGCAAATACACGACTGAAAATATCCAACTGAACAGAATGAGCTGCGGTTCTTTATGGTAATGAGAACACATCAGGAAACTAAGAAATAAGACGATATTTCTTTTCGCACATGTGAATGGCGTTTGTTCGATGTTGTATTATATGTGGCAAATGTCTCCTGTTGTTTTCTCCCCTTGACTTAGTTATATTTACATATAGATACATCTTGTGCGAAAAGAAATATCTCGTTATTTGTTAAGTTTCTATCAAATTTTATTTAAAAAAGGAACCGACAGGAAATGTATTTGTACTACCAAAGACTAACACTTCTTCTTTACACGATACTATTATTCTCACACATCTATAGTTATAAAAGCTAGCTTTTTCATCAATTGATTTGACAAGTCATTGGTCTCTCTTTGATTATACTCTTAAATCACACTTTTAACCAGCAATCACTTTTACGGTAGAGTGGCGGACAAAAGTTGAAGATCACTTTTATTTCTGAATTTTCTTATGAACGAAAGTAGCTAGCAGATATCCGACGACAGATTTGTGTAGAGAGCACTCAGGAGTAACTAGAAACATAATAAAAGAATTTAAATTTAAATTTAACTGAATTAAAAAAATGAACTTTTAAAAAGTCTAAGATTTTCAATATTTTTAAAATGAGTCAAAAGTCATTTTCAATCATTCAGCAGAATAAAGCAGACTTTTCTGATCAAAATGAGACGTTCCGCAGATTTCTGCGACCTTTTTCGACCGAGTTATAAATTTTCCTCGGAAAGCACCAACGTCTTTTTTTACACTAAAAACTCTTTCTTTTAGCAAGTTTGCTGCTTTTTTTCTGTTCGAGGCTTTCTGGGGAAAGTTCATAACTTGGTCGAGAAAGATCGCAGAAATCTGCGTCATGTCTTATTCAAAGGTGGCTTTAAACTTTTGTCCGCCACTTTATTTCATACGATTCTGTTGATCATTGCCAAGTAATTTAGAGATGATTCTTTTATCCTACAAAAGAGACGTTCGACTAGTAAAAAGACCAAGAAATTCCAAATTGTCTAGTGGAGTGACTATCTTTCGATAGTTGCTATTACGACCAGCTAAGGTTTCGTATATACTAGTGCAAAAACAGAATAGATATATGACTTATTGACGAACTACTCGAAACAAGCTGACTGGTCGAACAATTTCGTTATGGTAATTTTGAAAATAGACTACTCAATATAAGAACAGAGGAGAAAAAAAGCTGCCGTAACATAAATACGTCTATATCAGAGTGCTTAAATCTCCTGATTTGACCAGGAAACTCCTGATTTTCAATTGTTTTCCTGCATCGACTTTGTTTTTTTCAAAACAGATTATCAGTTTCAGAAACAAAATTTCTGAATCAGGAGTCAACATAATTGTACATTGAAAGAGTCCGTTGTGTGCTTATCGAATGTTTTCATCACAAGAAGATGAGATTAGTAAACTTCCAAATTCATCGGATCAAAAAACTTCTTCCTCAATCCGTACTGCAGTCTGTAACAAATGATAATACTGTTCCATCAAAAAATTTCAAAAAATCGATTTCGACCCCGGGTCTACATGTAAAGTTAGATTTACTGCTGTACGAGTCACTAGAGGTATCGTTAAAATCATTCTGACTTACTATGACCTGTAATTTTCGCTTGTAGAATATGTTAAGAATACTTAAAATATTTCACCTTAATTCCAAAGAAACTAAAAAATAACCATCTCATTCCGTTACTAATAATGTTTATGTGTCGTTCTATCATCATGATCATAAAATATAGAATCTTTTCGTATAAAACATTCATTACATTATAAGACATCTATTGTAAGAGTAGGGTCTCCTCATATCTATTCTCTCAGACATTATAAAAATGGCCAAAGGTTATGGATTGAGAGAGTAGCACAGTTCCACGATCAAATTATACGAAATAGATCTACGGAAGATAAAATGTCCTTGAGATACTAACTATATTGATACATACGTAAAGTGACTTATTGAAGCAGTTACGTCAGAACAGCTGTTTTCAAAAGACAGAATAACGTCATTATACAGACATCGAAAATCTCACGTTCATTTTATCTTTGTATCTTCTTATTACGTAGGACATAAGACAATGCACAAATAAAGACACTTTTACGTGCGATGACCAAACATAACCTTTGTCCTCAAAACTCTTTTGTCACTTAGAGTCATCGTCTGAAGAGAAAGAGAGGGAGAGAAAGAGAGAATTGTGACTGAATCCTGTAAATGGCCACCAATATGATACACGTTTTTTCACTTTTTGCTATTTGTACAAATGTAATAAAACGAAGACAAATGACCTTTCCTTCTCTCTCTTTCTTTCCACACACACTCCTATATAATCAACACACGCCCTCGCTTATAAAAAGTGATTCCTCCTATATTTTCACTTGAAAAAAGATTGTACATAAAAAAATACCTCTTGAGAAAAGACATATCACCGAATCGAAAAATTTTAAAAGCTTGTTCGATGAAAACCGACTGCAGATTCGTCTTCTCCATGGTCAATTATCTGGTACGCGAAAACTTTTGGACCGGAGTACTGTAAAGAAAATTTTCAACATAGTTTTGCCTTTGGCCCCATACAGTAACTTTTAGCAAAATTTTTGAGCAAGACCATAAGAAAATTTTTTTCTGAAGTACCCCGATCCAAAGTTTAGCGCGTACCGGATAATCGACTATGAAGAAGACGAATTTGCAGTCGGTTTTGATCGAACATGCTGTTAAAATTTTTCGATCCGGTGATATGGTTCTGGATTACATAAATTTGACCATACAATCTGAAAGTTTTATGAACTTTTTCATGGACAAGTATGTTTTCCTACGTTGTTTATCGAAAAAATAAGCTACTAAGCGTAGCAGCTTTATCATCCTGTGATCCTGTGCACCGTTAAAATTTTGACAGTAATTTAGAGAAACTTATTAGATGACATAATAACTGATTTTTTTGCCCATGACCTACGATTTCTATACAGTTGGACGGGGAAAAATATTTCTCAGCTAAATTCATGTGGTTCGCTCATCTCTGGCAAGAATATCAACAAAATATCTAATAAACTGGTGCGTAATAGAAAAAATTTCAGCGATGACAGATAATCTCGCTTTATTATTTTCTTTCAACTCCATTGATTCTATAAGAGCCAACAATATGTTTTCAGATCACGGTTAACTACTGTCTCGTTCAGTAAATCCAAAACTTCACCTAACCACTTAATCAAAAAATTTTTAAGAAAGTTCCAGCGAATATCATAAAGATTCACGTTCATTCCGAAAGTCAAAGAATGAGACTTGAGACTGTTACTAAATATACAAATTTCTACTAAGAATCTTTTACTGTACCTTTAACTTAGTTCCTCGTTGTTCGTTCCACTAACAGGATCCTAATTACTTTTGATAAATTATATTTTTTCTATATATATTGAATACTATAGATTTCTAAAAAAAAAAGAAGAGATAATTGAGCAATGCCTTCTTACGTTACTGTTCTGTTACTACGCCTTACACACTTTATCTATTACATATTGAAAAAAGAACAAAAGAAAATAAGTGCAATGAATGAAGTACAACAAAATCAAAATGAATGTTAGAAGAATATTCGAACTACGGGTAATTTTTACAAGTGTTCCTATTATCTCATCGAACAAATGCGTTTGTTTTTACGATGTTTGTCATGTATTTTACAATCTTGAAAATGACATGTTTTTTTACGTATTGAACAAACCATCAAAAAAATTTCTAAACCATCTATCGATTTTACTAATTATGTTTTATTATCTATATTCAGGAAGATCGCACACAATTTAAAACAGGAGATTCGTGAATTTGTCAAGTGAGGATACTGGTTAAGGCGTAGTCCAAAAATATGTCTCAAAATTATTTTTAAAATTTCTGTGAAACCAAGATATTGAAGACATTTTTTACACTGCGTATTACTGATACGCATACCCATCCGCAATCTTCAATAGTAACAAAATTTTTGGACGGAAAGATTGACTTCCTTACGTCGATGCTTTCCGTTGTCGAACTAAGATATTCGTCCATTTGATGTAAATATGACATAATTTTCTAGGTACACAGGTAAAAGTATAGACTTCTGTCATAATAAAATGAAAGAAAGTGAAGAATATAAAGAAAGTAATCGAAAATATTTATATTTTACCTGTTTGACCTTCATCACGTGGGTTATTGTATAGTCGTATAAAAACAAACAGCATCTAATCTTTTATTGAAGACAAAATGACTTGGTACTTTTTTTTTTTGACGACTATGATAATGATTAATAAATGTCTCAAGTAATATGAGACACGTTAAATAAAGATGTAAAGACAAGAATAAACGAATATAAAAGATGAGCTATGTGAGTGAAATATAAGGATACCTAGCATTATAACGATAAACTGTGAAAAGAGATGAATAAGTCAGATTTCTATCCAAAAAGAAGAGACTGATTGATAAAATAAAGTAAAATGTTACCATGAAATGTAGATATTGATTGATAAGTTTCTCAAATAAATCTGTTTATATGATTCGTACAATTAACACAACACAAACTAATCAATAAAAGATAAAAATTGTGTTAAAAAGTTTTTCGAGAAGAGAGTTGTTTTTTTCGCGCTTATGATATTCTAGAGTCAATTATATCTTTTCATCCTCAGTTCTTATATTCTTAGATTTC